TGCCATTTCTTGTATTCTTCATTCTTTCAATCTGTTTTTCTATATGCCTGCTTGAAATAACTACCCTTTCAATCTTTGTGGTGCAAGTTTGCTAGTCACGGATTCCTTGTTTTTGTTTCTTTGAAAAAAGACTGTGTTTTTCCTTACTTAATTTTTTTTTATTTTGAAAATTACAGATTCACAGGAAGCTGCAAAAATGATAGAGGTCCTGTGGATCCTTCATTCAGTATCCCTCATTAATAGCATCTAACATAATAATAGCACAGTATTAAAACCTGAAAATTGGGCGCCTGGGTGGCTCAGTTGGTTAAGCGACTGCCTTCGGCTCAGGTCATGATCCTGGAGTCCCTGGACCAAGTCCCGCATCGGGCTCCCTGCTCGGCGGGGAGTCTGCTTCTCCCTCTGCCCCTCCCCCCTCTCATGTGCTTGCTCTCTCTCATTCTCTCTCTCTCAAATAAATAAATAAAATCTTTAAAAAAAATAAATAAAACCTGAAAATTGACATTGGTATAATCCACAGTCATTATTCAGATTTCACCAGTTCTGTATGCACTTGTGTATGTTTGGACCCCCTTAAATTTTTGAAGGATATTTTCACTAGATAGAGAATTACCAATTGGGAGTTTCTGTTTTGTTTTTTTTTTAAGATTTTTAAATTTATTTATTTAATTGACAGAGAGAGAGAGAGAGACAGCGTGAGAGGGAACACAAGAAGGGGGAGTGGGAGAGGGAGAAGCAGGCTTCTGGCCGAGCAGGGAGCCCGATGCGGGGCTCGATCCCAGGACCCTGGGATCATGACCTGAGCTGAAGGCAGTCGCTTAACCAGCTGAGCCACCCAGGCGCCCCAGTTTCTATCTTCTTTTGGTACTTTGAAGATATCATCCCATTGTTCTCTGGGTTATGTCATTTCTGACAAAAAGTTCACAGTAATTCTTTTCTTTCTACCCTTGTATATTTGTATCTTTTATCTTTGCTCTTAAGACATTCTCTGTTACTGGTTTTCAGCAATTTCATAATGATGTGTTTTCTCAGTTTTGTGTGGGGAGTGTTTATTTGGCTTAAAGTTTGTTGAACTTTTTGAATCTGTGGGTTTATAGTGTTCATCAAATTTGGAAAAGTTTGGCTATTATTTCTTCCAGTATTTTTTCTGTACCCCTTCTCTCCCTCCCCCAACCTGTAACTTCAATTATACTTTTGTTAGGCCACTTGATATTATCCCACTGATAATGTATTAGTGATATTAGGTCACTGATGTTTTTAGCCTTTTTTCCCTTATATTTTTTATTTGAATAGATTCTGTTGCTGTCTTCAGTAGTTCACTGATCTTTTCTTTGCAGTGTCTAATATGCTCTTAAGCAATGAAGTGTTCATTTTGATACATTATTCATCTGTAGAAGTTCCATTTGATTTTTTTATATTCTGAATTTATGTCCTTATTATATTAACATATATAATTAAAATAGCTGTTTTGACAGTCTTGTCTGCTGTATCCATCATATTTCTCATTTATGGATTGTTTCTATTGAATTTTTCTTCTGGATATCAATCACATTTTCCTGCTTCTTGGTTTAGTTAGTGATTTTATACTGGATGCTAGACATTGTGAATATTATATTGTTGAGTAGCTGTATTTAATGTACTCTTTGAACACAAGTAGTTATTTGTCAGTTTAGTCCCTTTAAGGCCTGTTTTTAAGTTTGGCCGGGGTTGGTCTAGAGTAACCACTAGGTGTGGCCTAGTCCTCAGTATATTCAAAAGATACCCTGTGTAGATTCCTGAAGCTCCCTCCTAATGGAGTTCCTCCTTTTTTGAACCCTTCTCAGAAATTCCAGCTGCTTCAGTCTCCTCCAACTTCCATCTCTGTCTCCTCAGCTCGGCAGACCTTGGTTCTGTTTGTATTTTCTCCTCCTTATACCCACAGTGTGGATATTGCCTCCAGGCAGAATGCTGGGGTGATTGTAGGACTACTCCATTTATTTCTCTTCTCTCAGTAGTCATAATCCTACCGTTTTCCTTTATCTCTAAATAGTTATTTAATGTTTTTTTTAGTTGTCTACAGTGTGTTTTTATGTTAGGTTCTTATTATTTGATCAAGGGTGGAAGCCTTAATCTCTGCTTTGTTTTGTTTTTTGGTCAAATTAAAGTCAGTAGGTACACTCCACAAGTTTCTCTGACCATGGATTATGTCACACAAACATGCTTATTAATATTAGTAACTCACTTAAAAAAAAAAAGTCTGCTCTCTTTTTATCTTTCACTCCAGCTAAAATTGAGGTTTGTATCATTTCCTAAAGATGCTTTTGTTCTTTTTTGTTTCTATAGCAAAACTCCTCAAAAGCATTTTCTTAATTTTTTCACATCCTTATCTTGCAAAGAAAGCTTTTAAATTTTGGCCTGTATGTATCCTGCAAAGCCATGATATTAATGGTCCTTACCTTTGTTTAATAGTATATAGTTTACAAATTGCTATCACATACATATGATAGTTGTATGTAGTCATGTGTTTTTATTCTATAGATCTGCACCTCCCCCCAGTTCTTTATTCCCTTCTCTCCCAGCTTAGGTTTCATGGTGTACTACTTAATTATCCATTGTATATATTAATTTTGTGTGCCCATCATTCATGTAGAATAGTACCTGGCACATAGTAAGTGCTCAATAAATATGAACAAGTAACTAGGCATAGCTATCATTACCACCAATTTCAGATATGGAAACTGAGACTACCACAGCTCATAGGTTCTCTGACCCCAAGTTTATTGCTTTTTGTACCTTAGCCATTTATTTCTAGAACCTTATCTGATCATTTATTTGTCCTCATCTGATTATTCCTCTTCTGACTTACTGTGACAATTTGTGTTACTCTTAAAGCATTTGCTACCATTTTGTCAGTGCTGTGGCTACTAATACATAGCTCTCTCTATTCTTGCCTTCTCCCAGTTCCTTAGGAATGCTTTAAAAGTTAAGAGAGGATGGCAAATTATTTCTCATTGGATCTCATAGTAATTGAGTTTTAAAGTGAGATTTTAATTCCTTTAGGCTATCTAGATTTTTCTTTTAAAGCTAATGTAAAATTCAAGGTTTGAAATCTTTCCTAAAATTTTTCTCTAACATGTAAACTGCTTAATTTTTTTTTTTTTGGTAACAATAGATTTACTTTATTATTTTCAGCTTATAAGCTCTCTCATAAAAAATATTGGTATCTTGTCTGCACTTTGTAAAAAGTACTTGAGTGTGATTGAAAACAGAAATGTTTTCAAGTTTTTGGTAAGGTTTTCCCTTTCCTTAGTGGACTTGCTCATATAGGAATACTTTATTTCATATATTATTTTTCTAACGTTTTTTGTTTTTCACTTCTCCCAAGAAGGGGGCCATATTGATTCATGGGTAGAGGAACATAATGTGGTGTTGGATGGTTTTCATTTTTCTGTGAAGTAGGTTACAAAGTTACCAGCAGGAAAGAGAAGGGCAAAGATTTATTTTCATATCTTATAGGTGGAGGCTGAAATGAGGCAGCTAGAATTGTGGACTTTGTAGCTAAGGAGATTTCTGCCTTTTCCATGTGAACAGTGAGATAAATCAAGCTTGCTCTTACTGTAGCTACCGCCCACAAAGCTGTGAAGAAGGCTGGTGATAGCAGATGGTATTCATACACAGTTTGATTTGTTTAAAAACCCACATAAAGAGCAGCATGTGTTTTGTTGTGTGTTGTTTTGCCCTTAATTACTTAGGGTCAGGGAGATCAGTTTTCAAATAAAACATAGTGATACAGCCAGGAGAAAAAAATTTATGGAAGAAGAAAACAGAGAACTGTATTTTTAACTGCATCATTTTAATTCCATGATATTTATTGAATATCTCTTGTATATAAGGCTCTGTACTAGGTATTGTAGGGGATGCAAAGAAGAGTGATTTAAGTACAAAATGAATTCAGTTGAATAAACATGTCGTTAGTGCCTCTTCTATGCCACTGAAGTTCCGGGAATACAGAAATTCACACTGTTTCTATCCTCAATGAGCTTACATTAATTGTGGGGAAAATGAAGTAAATAGATAGTTTCAGTTCTGCACAGCACACATATGCTATATGTGTGTCAAGGTGTTGTAGGAGCTCTGAAGAAAGGGTACCTAATCCAACCTGGGAGGAGAATGAGAAAGATAATGAGGGAAGGCTTCTTGGAGGAGGTAAAACCCTCATGTACACTCCTCGTTGAGGATGGATAGGTGCGGGCTACGTAAAAATGAGCAGGGAGGAGGGATCAGGGTAGAAGGAAGAGCATGAGGTGAGCAAAGGTTCAGAGGCAAGAAACATCATAGCTGTTTGGGAGATATATCTGAAGGTAACATCTTGCAGGAGATGAGATTATAGTGCCAGGTTATGGTAGAGTTTGGAGTTTATCCTACATGTTCATGTTTCTTCTGTAGACTCTCTGCAACAGCATCTCTTAGAATATTTGCAGAAATGCAAGTCTAAACCTACCCCAAGATGTAGAACATGAATCTATAAGATCTGTTGTTTTTGCTAAGAGTTGGGACTTTCCCTGTAAGGCTAATGTAGAATGCTCTGTTTTTAACAAATATTTCTTATATGATACACTTTGTTAGGTTTATACAAACACAGTATTTATGAGCATTTGTGCCTTACATAGCTGTTTTGGGGAGGTTCCCAAAGGAAGAACTATAGTGACAAAGAGTTGCTTATAAAATAAGTATAGAGGACCTCTATACTATATAAAAAGAGATAGAAAATTCCAAACAAAAAGTAATTTGAAAGCCTAATTCATGACTACATCTTTAAGGATATATCTTTCTAATACCAATTCAGGGTAAGAATTCTCTGAGCCCTCTGTCACTCGGTGCTCGGCCCCCAAACTTTGGGTGTGTGTTTGTGTGTAAGTGTGTGTAAAATTTGGGAGAAAGCAAGGAATATGGAAATGGAAAATGTTGCAGAATAATAGAACTTATATTTATAAATGTTCCATATATCTTTTACCATATAGGAATTAGAAAATAAAAGAAGACTACAAAAACAGGCTGCCAGTAACCAAAGTGCTACAGAAGTTCGGTTGAATAGAGCTCTAGAAGAGGCAGAAAAGTATAAACTGGAGTTAAGTAAATCAAGGCAAAATAACAAGGTATGGAAAAATTGAATAGTTTTGGTAGTGGTCACCTTTGGTAACTTCTTTTTATAAGAGTCAAAAATAATTAGTTTTTAAGTTATAATTCTTGATGTCATGGTGAACATTTCTCTTTTCAGAAGTGTGTTCATTATTGATATGTATATCTTCCAGAAGTTAGGATTATATTGCCTGGGCTATTGCCATAATTGGGTGATAGCACAACTCTTTGGAGGATTCAGTCATTTTTTCATCCAACAAATCTTTATTGTGTGCCCATATTATGTGCCAGACATTTTTCTAATCTCTGGGGATGAGTGGTAGGAAAAAGCCTCTTTGGTATCTCAAGTCTGTTTCCTTCTCTGAGCCCCACTTTTCTAATATAGAATGCAAAGGGCTACTTTACAGGGCAGTGGTTCTCAAACTTGAGCATGTATCAGAATTACCTGGAAGGCTTGTTAAAACATATATTGCTGGGCCCCACCCCCAGAGTTTCAGATTTAGTAGATCTGCGGTGAGGCCTATTTTTACTAGGTTTAATAGCAGTTCCCTGGGTGATGCTGAAGCCACTGGTTCTGAGACATTTTGATAATCACTGTTAGAGTTGTAAGGATCACTCTTGTATCCCAGTATCTAACCAATGGTTGGCATAGAATTAGCACTCAATTCCTGAAATATCTGTTGAGTAAGTGCTCAAGTATTGTGTGTGAAAACCTTTTGTATACTCTATACATTTTGGCTATTAGTTTTTGGTTCTATGTCAGCCTAAAAGTGATGCTCCATTGGAATCTCTCCTTTAGAACAATATTGAATAATTTAACAGTGGCTCAGATGATGAAGTTAGGACCCACCTTCATTACATACACAGATGATACATTTTCTATTAAACTAATAACACTTAATAGGACATAGAACTAAACTGAACTTGATAAATCCTCCAACACGTTTAACAAAGGCAGATATGTTACAGAGACTACAGAGTTTTAAGATCTCTTCTGTGAGATAGTTTATGCTCTGTGATCAGATTGTGTTCATGTTCAAGAGACATCAATGATGATACGATGATGGGGATTTATGAATAGAAGTTATTAAATGAACAAGTTAGGAAGTCATCTTTATAGCTTGCCAATAATTAGCATGCTATTGGAATATTATTTCCAGTTTGGTTCACTCTGAAGGGATTTTGAAGAAAATAAAATGGAATAACCATGTATATGTCAGGATTTGCTAATTCTTGGTTGTAGATGTGATCTCTGTTTTAGCACACACATTAGAGAAGTAGAAGGAAAAACTTGTTTCCATGACAACAGTAATCCTAATCAGCCATTTTGCAAATTGACATACCAAGTCCTCATTACGTAGTTTAAAACCATCAACACTGTAAAAACAAATATGTTGAAGACAAATTTCTGATCCCAAGTCTACATTATGGATAATCAGTTTAAACATAGTGGGAGAACATTTTGTGTAACTACTTGCTATCAAGTAGACATTTTGAGATCAGAGTTCTGAGATGTAACTTTGTCAAATTTCTGAAAAAATATGAGTCTTAAGTTTTTAATTTTTCAATTATTTTGCTTCATTTTTTTTTAAAGATTTTTTATTTATTTATTTGAGAGAGAGAGAATGAAATAGAGCATGAGAAGGGGAAAGGTCAGAGGGAGAAGCAGACTCCCCGCTGAGCAGGGAGCCCGATGTGGGACTTGATCCAGGGACTCCAGGATCATGACCTGAGCCGAAGGCAGTCGCCTAACCAACTGAGCCACCCAGGCGCCCTATTTTGCTTCATTTCTAACGTTTGTCTTTGAAGGATGTTTTGGCCATATGTGGTTAAGTTTTCCCTTGTAGTCTAGTCTGTATATAAGTTTTTTGTGAGGAGGTATACTTTTTTCCATTTTAATTCTTTGTACCTTCTCATTCTGATTAGACATATAATTAGGTAGATAATTAAAATTACTCAGGTCTGTATGTTTAACAAATACTAAGTCTTCCATAAAATAGAACAAGATTGCCTCATAGTGATCAGAAAGTTAAGGATTTATTTTAAAAAATGATATATTCTCCACAGAGGTTAGGAAACATGTAATCTGGCCTTAGAGTAACTTTTGAAATGAAAAGTCAGTCAAGTTAAACTAGATGCTGAGTGCAGGGACTCTGACTGTTTCATTCACTGCTGTGTCTCAGTGTCTTGAATGTAGTAATTGCCTCTGAAACACACTGCAGGAAGGAATGTGGAAAGACAACTATGAGATGCTTTAATTGGAATGCTTCTTAAAAACAGAGCATTTGATTAGATGGTTTGCTTGTAGTCCATTTAAAATATGTCACCAAGCCCATGTTACTTCATTTAGGAACAGATAATCTCTAATTCTTCATTCATTTAGAAATATTTATGAGGACCTTCTAGGTACCTGCTAGATCTTTACTAGAGGCTGGAGGTATAAAGGTGATAAAAAAAATAAATGTGGTCTGTGTAATCATGCATTTTGTAGTGGAGAAGCTGTGTGTTATTTAGACAATTCATCAAGTAAAACTGAGGTGCAGCTGTGCTTTGAGCAAGTAACCAGGTCAAGGAATGCTTTTTAAAAAATGTAATTCTAAGCTAAGATCTGAATAATATTAACAAGTTATATGCTAGGAAGAGATTATGAACAAAAGGAATCCTATGTAAAAAATGGCTCTGTGGCAGGAAAAAAGACAAGGTCATGAAAGTCAGGGATGGAAGTGAAGGGAGTGTTATCAAATGAGCCTCAAACATAGGTAGAGGCGAAACCATCTAGATCCTTTAGGCTGTGTTAAGTATTTTGGCTTTTATCCAAAGAGTAGTACAAAGCCACTGCATGGTTATTTTGAACAAGGTTGGGGGAGACCATGCTATGATCATATGAGCACCTGGAAAGTGTTTTTGTTTGTTGTGTGGAGAATTCATTGGAGGGGGGCAAGAATGGATGCTGGTTAAGAATAGCGGTGTGAGAGATGATGAGGTAGCTTGGCCTAAACCGATAGTGGTAAAAATGGAGAGAAACCAAGTATCAAAATACACTGAAGAGAGAAAAATCACTAGGACATGGTGATGGACTGGATATGGGATTGTGGGAAAGGGAAGCTTTCAAGAGGACATTTTGATTTTTAATTTTCAGAACCAGATAGATCGTGCCATTCCCTGGAATAGGTTGGGAAAGAAGCTTGAGTTATTTTAGAACATCTTGAAGTTCATCCCATTGCTGCATGTGACAGTAGTTCACTTTTAATAATTTTCCACTTGGTATAAATATACCAAACAATACCACCTTGTTGATGGACTTAGGGTTGTTTCCAGTGATCGCTATTACAAATAAAGCTGCAATGCACATTCACATATAAGTCTTTGTGTAGACATCTCTTTTCATTTCTCTTGGGTAAATACCTAGATTTAAATTCTGAGTTTTATTATAGATGTACATTCAACTGCTGAACTGTTTTCCAAAAGGCTCTAACAATTTATATTCCCCACAGCAGCATTTGAAAGTTTTAGCTATACCATATCTTCACCAGCGTTTGATATAGTCAGGCTTTTACATTTCACTGTGCCAGTGGGTGACTAATTGTATCTTATTGTGGTTACTTTTTTTTTTTTAAGATTTTATTTATTTGAGAGAGAGAATGAGAGACAGAGAGCATGAGTGGGAGGAGGGTCAGAGGGAGAAGCAGACTCCCTGCTGAGCAGGGAGCCCAACGTGGGACTCGATCCCAGGACTCCAGGATCATGACCTGAGCTGAAGGCAGTCGCTTAACCAACTGAGCCACCCAGGCGCCCCTTATTGTGGTTACTTTACATATTCCTAATGACCAATGAATGATACTGAGCATCCTCATATGCTTATTTGCTATCTTGATATCTTTTCCCCCAGTTTTATAGAGATATAATTGACATACAGCACTGTGTAAGTTTAAGGTCTAGAGCATAATGATTTGATTTACATATATTGTGAAATTATTGCCACAGTAAGTTTATTTAATATCCATCATCTCATAGTGATACAAAAAAATCAGAAAAGCTTTTTTTCTGGTATTGAGAATTCTTAGGATCTACTCTTTTAACAACTTTCAAATATACCATACAACAGTTATGTGTAGTTATCATGTTGTATATTACATTTCTAGTTCTTTTTTATCTTATAACTGGAAGTTTGTGCCTTTTGACCACCTTCCTTCTGTTTTTCTATGCATTTTTTAAAAGACTTTTTAAAAAAATTTTTTTAAAAGACTTTTTAAAAAAATTTTTTTAAAGTATGAGTTAGATCACACAGTATTTGTCTTTCTCTGTCTGACTTACTTCACTTAGCATAATGCCCTCAAGGTCTATCCATGTTGTGAATGGCAGGATTTCTTTTTTGTGGCTGAATAATATGCCAATGATACCACAACATCTTCATCCATTCATCCATTGATGGACACTTAGGTTGTTTCCATGTCTTGGCTATTGTAAATAATGTTGCCATGAACATGGGGTTGCAGATATCTCTTTGATGTGGTATTTTCATTTCCTTTGGATATATTCACAGAAGTGGAATTACTGGATTATATGATAGTTGTATTTTAAATTTTTTGAGGAACCTCTAAACTGTTTTCCATAGTGGTTTTACCAATGTACAATCCCACTAATAGTGCACAAGTGTTCCCTTTTCTCCACATCCTCTCCATCATTTGTTATCTCTTGCTTTTTGATGATAGCCATTCAAACAAGCATGAGGTGATTTCTCATTGTGGTTTTAATGTGCATTTCCCTGATGATTAGTGATGTTGAGCACCTTTTCATGTACCTGTTAGCCATTTGTAGTCTATCATCTTCGGAAAATATCTTCAAGTCCTTTGCCCATTTTTTAATTGGATTATTTGTGGAGTTTTTTATTACTGAGTTGTATGATTTCTGGACATATTTTAAATATTAACCCCTTATCAGCTATATGGTTTGCAACTACTTCTTCCCATTCTGTAGGTTGCAATTTCATTTTGTTGATCATTTCTTTTGCTGTGCA